GGGCGACAGCGGGCGGGCGACAGCGGGCGGGCGCCGCCGAGGGGGACCGGCCGCCGCGGCGAGAGCGCGCCAGCCCCGCCGTGATGCCCGCGCGCCCCGGACGCCTACTCCCGCCTTTGCCCCGGCCGCTGGCCCTGGCCGCGCTGCCGCTGCTCCTGCTGCTGGGCGATGGCGGCGGCGGCGGCCGCGGGGGCGCCTGGGCCCAGGAGCCGGGGGCGGCGGCGGCGGACGGGCCCCCCGCGGCCGACGGCGGGGACGGGCAGGACCCACACGCCAAGCACCTGTACACGGCCGACATGTTCACGCACGGGATCCAGAGCGCCGCGCACTTCGTCATGTTCTTCGCGCCCTGGTAACTGGCCGCGCCGCGCTCCTCGGGGCCCCGCACCCTGCGCGCCGGGGGTGGCCGGACCGGCCCGGGCTGGGGGGCGCCGCGGCGGGCCGGGGGACGCAGGGCCGGGGCGCGGGGTGGGCGCGGGCTCGGGCCGGGGGCGTGGGCGCTCGCGGCTGACGTGGCGCAGGGCGGCCGGGGCGGTGCAGGAGGGGGCGGGCCCCGAGGGGACAGCCGGGAAAAGGCCGTCCCGCCCCCAGCTCCCGGTCCCCCCGCCCCCGAATCCCCGGACCGGGGGAGGGGCAGGTGGCGGCGTCGCCCAGTGGGGCCACCCCGCTGGTCCCCAGCCCCTTCCTCCTCCCCAAACTTCCTGCGCCGGCCGGAGGCGGCGGCCTGCTGGTGCGGCCGGGACTTGTGGGCCACGTGCAGCGGCCGCCGGCCACCGGGGTCCGGCCGGGAACGCTCGGAGGTCTGATTCCGTGCACTCGCTGCAGGGCAGATCCCCGGCACGGGGGATTAGTTAAAAAAGTGGGAACTCGCAAAGGTGGGATAACCCACTTTTTGTGTTCACTCGGTGGGAAGGGGTGGCCCAGGCAGAGGGGGGTTCCTGTACTACCCCGGGAACCCGAGAGTAGTGCAAATGCTGGGGACCCGTAGGCAACTCCGTATGGACGGGGAGGTGTGCTCTCGGGCCCCTCCACTCGAGGCTGCCCTCCGGCACCTCCACCCCTCTGGTCTCTTGGGGCCTGGTCTTCTGGTAAGTGTAAGCTGAACAGACGGTCCCTCCCGCCTTGGTTCTCCGGTGGAGGCGTCGGTGTGGGCCTCCGTGCCAGCACCAGAGCCCCCTTCCCTGGGAGTTGTCCAACCGAAAGGACTTCCTGACGTTCACATAAACACAAGCAGTGCTTTCCTTCCACGACCTAGATGCCCCGGTGAAGGGCGGTTCTCGTGGGCAGAGCAGAAGGCCAGTTCTAGGGCACAAGGCAGTTTGCAGGCTTATTGCAGCATTTGGCATTCTTCCCCAGAGCGGGAGAGAGGCTCATGGAGATGTGGGAAAGGGATGTAGGACGGAAGAGAGAGAAGATGCCCAAGAAAAACGGCTTATTCAGAAAATGTGCGGGCGGAAGTTGGAGGAAACTTTTTTCTTTCTCTTTCCATATTGAGGCTGTTACTGTATTTCAGTTCGTTTGGAGTTATCTTTGTGGGGGCAGGTCTGGGTCAGAGTTATCATTATTAACAGTGTATCTCTGGGGTTCATTGTGTTTCAACTTCCCAAGAACCAGAGGGACTTGAAGTTTTAGAGCTACCAGTGGTCTAGAAATACTTTGTAGCATAAAATAATCGTTCATTATTAATAGTTATTCTGTGAAGGGATATTCTCAAGTAACTATTCCAATTAAATACACTACTTAATTGGAGCCTATTTCAGTGGAATAAGTCCATGGCTTTTTTCTTCTTTATTTTTTGAAGAAAAACTGAGCTGTAGATACATAAAGTCCATGCAAAGCCAATGGAGTTTTAATTTTGGAGTCTCTGTAGTACCAGCTAGTCCTAGACTGAGTGAGGGACAAGACTGGCAAATCTGGGCACTTGGTATTAAGTAAACTCCTTTTTAGATGGATGTTCCTAGAAAAGTTACTTTTAGTTTTTGTTTGCTTCTTAATACTCTACTATAAAATACTGAAATAGAGGTGTGTGGGTTTCTCTGATGGCATTTAAGAACAGATTGGAGCTCAGATAGAATATGCTGTGGGCTACCCCTTCCCCCCATCTCTTTCCAGTTTCCGTCTCTGGAATATTGGAAGCCCACATGTGACTTGGGGGCAGGGGTGGCATGTAACAAAAATACTGCCCTGTATATTTTTGCTCTGAACTTGGTAGATGTAAAGTTGTCCTACTGCTGTGGATTTTCTGCTAACATCAGGCCACAGCTTCTCTCTGGCCAGTTGCAGGTCACACTGAATCTGGTGACAATGAGGTCAAGGCTGGGGCCACCTCCTTGGTAGGACCAGAGGCTTTGCTCTATTACATGGCCACCAAATGAATTCAGCTACTGTCTCAGAGGTTCATACTATAACCACAGGGGTCCCAAACCAGAAGCTCTGACTACATGGCACTTGTGGATCAAACCAGCACTAAGAAATTGCCAAACTGAGTCCCTGCCAAGCATGTGCTAGGTACTGGGAATACAGCTCTAAAGAAGAACAGTGCTGGTCTTCATGGCCCTTGCACCTTTTAAATTATATAACTGAATATGTAACAGTATAACTTACATATAGTACTACTTTTCCCTCACAGTTGTCTTCAGGAAAGAGGGAATCATCCTGTATTCGAGTTTCTTATAAAGCAGGCATTCTCCTGGCTGCCCATGAAGTGGTGCACGGGGACCCGCAGAAACGTGAAGCAAACTTGTCCAGTGCTGCCTTTCAGTGCCGATTACAGACGTCCACTGTCAGAAGAGAAAAGAGGCAAAGAAATTTAACACTGATTTTGTTGAGAAGTTACTCTGAGTCCAGACTGACAGTTTTAAGTGTTGGGTGTTCTTTTTTTTTTTTTTTTAAAGATTTTATTTATCTATTTGAGAGAGAGAGCATGAGAGGGAAGAGGGTCAGAGGGAGAAGCAGACTCCCTGCTGAGCAGGGAGCCCGATGTGGGACTCGATCCCAGGACTCCAGGATCATGACCTGAGCCGAAGGCAGTTGCTTAACCAACTGAGCCACCCAGGCGCCCGAGTGTTGGGTGTTCTTAGAAGCAAGCATTTTAAAGACCACTTTGAAAAGCAATATAGCTACTTTGTTACTTTGTAGACATCATAAATACAAACCAGGTGAATGAAAACAAACAAGCAAAAAAAAGAAAAAAAGAAAAAGAAAAACCCTCCATGTGCCATAATTCTGTGTGACCGTACTTGAAGCTTGAGACAAAGTCTCCAGTGCTGGCTCATACAGACTTCAAATAGGGCATTGCGGATGGCTGATAATTAAAGAAGATGATCAGTGATAGGACCGAAAAAGTGATTTAGTGATGGGAGAGATGCTGATGCTGTCAAGAAATGGGAAGAGTAGCAAGAAGCAAGAATTCTAAGTTAATGTATTATTTTAAGTAGGTGATTTAAAAATGTACTGTTAAGTTCATACAGTCAGTACACTTAGTGACATCAAATTAAGAAGTTTGGGAAGCCATAGACTTTTTTTTTTAAGATTTTATTTATTTATTTGACAGACACAGCGAGAGAGGGAACACAAGCAGGGGGAGCAGCAGAAGGAGAGGGAGAAGCAGGCTTCCCGCGGAGCAGGGAGCCTGATGCGGGGCTCCATCCCAGGACCCCGGGATCATGACCTGAGCCGCAGGCAGATGCTTCATGACTGAGCCACCCAGGTGCCCGCCATAGACTTTTCTAAATAAAGCTTCTCATTAGAGAAAATGTAGAAGTGAATGAAATTTGAGGTCGCCATGCATTTGCACATACTTAGTTATTTAATTGAGTCCTGACTAAAAAAGAGCGATCATGGTGAGCAGGATGACATTACTGCAGAAGAGGGGGGAGCCAGGGAGCTTTCCAGAAGAAGCAGAGAAGGGCACCAAACAGCTTGGGGAGTCAGAGCTGACTTCTTGGAGGAAGTGACACCCAGACTAAACCTGAAGGGCAAACAGGAATTTGCCAGGTGGGTCTAGGGAGTGTCTGAGTGGGTACTGATCCCCGGGGGGGGGGGGGCAAGTCACCCTGTGGCCCTTCCAGAAAACCACAGGTGGTTGCATTTGGCTCTGGACCCGACTGCCAGGGCAGGAGGGTGCAGGTGTATGGAGCGCAAATGGGAGGGCAGCCGGGGCCAGAGCCAGGCGGATGGTGGGCACAGCATCTTGCTGAGTGTCAGTTTCCTGCTGAGAACAATGCAGGGGCTCCCTGGAGCGTCTGAGGCAGGGGAGTGAGGTTGTGACTTGGGTGGGGATGGTGAGCCGTCCTTCCCTGTGGGATCAGAGAGGTTCCCCCGCCGTCCGGGTCTGGAAGGGGCTGAAGAGGTGGGTCAGGCGCGCCCTGACCGGTCCCCACCCCCTGCTCCAGGTGCGGACACTGCCAGCGACTACAGCCTACCTGGAACGACCTGGGAGACAAGTACAACAGCATGGAGGATGCCAAGGTCTACGTGGCCAAAGTGGACTGCACAGCCGACTCCGACGTGTGCTCTGCGCAGGGGGTTCGAGGATACCCCACGTAAGTGGGAAGGGCCCTTGTCTCCCGCCTCTCCCCGAGCTTCCCGCAGCCGTTTGTCAGCTGCGCGTTCATGCCGAGCTTGTGGTAACTTGTTTGGTAGTTCTGAGGAGTGAGGAGATGATAAATTTAAGCGGGCCGTCCCTGTTAGGGAAAGAGCGCCTTTAACGCTGGGTCTTGTCTCTAGCAGATGCTTCCTTGTGCTTTGTTTGGAAATAGCCTTTCATTAGCCAGTGGTGGGTTTTCCTATTTATAAGAGAATGTGTTTGTGTGACAAGAATGGCGGTCTCCGTGGCGTCCTGTCAGGCGTGATGCTCACAAGAACCTGGACGCGATGAGCATAGCTCGTCAGTTTTGAGTTTTTGGTCGCTCTGTTATTCTTCAGCATCCTTCCTGGAGCAATTTCCCACGCGGTGAGCACAAGGGCTGTTTCTGTTGGCAAGAAAGGTGACAAACTGGAATCCAGAAATTCTGACAAGCGATGCTTCTTACTCCCTTGACAGTTCAATTTTTTTAGTTTTAAGAGATAGGAATTGAGACTGGCTTAAGTAGCAAAAGAGGGGATTAATTAGAAGGCCATGGAAGAAGCTCTGAGACTCCGCTCGCAGGGTTTGGGGGCCTGTCTTTACTGCACTTCCCTTAAGGTGACTTACCTCTCCAGCTCTGCATCTCTCTGCTGTCATGCTGGGCTTGGGCTCCCCACTGACTGGCCCTGCTTGGATGGAGGATTCATTCCAGAAACAGCCCTTGTGGCCAGAGAGGCAGGATATCGTAGGAAGGCGGCAGCCCCACTCAGACCACATGGCAAGCGTTCAAATGAAGGGCCCTTCTCCAAAAAAGAGCAGATGCTGTTTCCCAAAGGATTGGCCGGGGGGCGGGGGGTGAGGGGCAGGGGTTGGCCACTGCCACTCCCAAACTTTTTGTTCAAATTGATGAATGAAGTAAATTCTTATAAAACCTGGGCCTGTCTTCAAACCCAAGAGGCAGCATGGAAAAGGGGAAGGAACTCTGGGCTGGAACCTAGAAGCCACGTCTGATTCCCAGCTCTACCATTTACTTATCATGCAGCCCTGGCCACACGGTTTAACCTCTGAGTCTAAGGTAGGATGTTGGATACATGATTTCATGATACGTGAAATAACATGTTTGCAAACACTGATCTGAGCATACCCAATAAATGTTAAGGTTTCCCTGACATTTGGAAATTTGGCATTGTCTTAAAGGACACTGGAATTCTTGGTCTTTGGTGACTGCCGCTAATCTAGTGCCATCATCCAGATCAGATCAGTAGAGAGAAAATTTCCTACCATGTGTACCTGCCCTAGAGGCATCGTCTTTAAAGGAAACTCGGCTTAGACAAAGAGCGTTGCGCAGAAGCCATCCGTGAGTAGTGGGAGCGGGTGAGGGGATAGAGGTTTACCTGTTGAGAGCCTGTTGCTTTCAAGGTGCAAGGGCAACCGAGATGGTTGGCTGTGGTGTCCACTCTTCAACAGGCCGCTCTGTGTGGCCATGTGGCCGTCCACCCCCAGCCACACCCCTGGGAAGTGACACCGGACTCGTGATAGGCTGAGAAGGGCAAGTGTTAGGAGGTGTCAGAGGGGGCAGTAGAGGGTCCACCTGGACCTGGTCGGAGGAGCTGTCTGGCTGCAACATCAGTTACCCCATAGATGTTATCCACAGGTGTTAAAGATTTTATTTATTCATTTCTTGGAGAGCTAGCGAGCGAGCAAGCAGAGGGAGGAGCAGAGGAGAGGGACAAGCAGACAGACTCTGTGCTGAGCACCGAGCCGGCCACGGGACTCTATCTCACGACCCTGAGATCGTGACCGGAGCCGAAATCAAGGGTGGGATGCTCCGCTGACTGAGCCCCCCAGGCGCCCTGTTAGTCACAGATTTTAAAAGAGCCACATTGGATCATGTGTCCTGATTTAGAAGATAGGGTCTCTCCAAGAACACCATGCACTGGTTTTGTGTCCTTAAGATCTGGAAGTGAGCTCATACTACACTGAACATGTTTGGGAAGGAACCTCTGCGTCCCTCACAGCCCTGCCCAAGTGCCCGAGGGCAGGTTTTTCTCCTCGAATGCAGGAGGCAGGGTGTGCCCCAGTAGGGCATTTGGGTGTTGACCTGTGGGCCTTGACCTGTGGATGTCTGCTTCCTCTGACACTGTGGCCCCCCTCACCCCCCCCCCGCCCCCGAGCAGTCACCTTTAGCCCTCCCAACCCTGGCACCTTTAACTGAAAGAAAGGATGGCACGGGGAGGGGGTTTGGGTTTCCATGCTCCCAGGGATGGTTCAGTGTGCTTCGAAAAGTGTCGGGAGGTCATGCTGTTGAGCTGGTAAGGAGTCTGCATCCTCTGGGGAAACTGTGAGCCAGGCAGGGCCGGAGGGGGTTTGCTATGGCTGCCGACAAGCGCCACACCAGGTGGCTGAAGAGAACGGAAATTTATCGTCTCACGGTCTGGGAGGCCAGCAGCCCAGCTTCAAGGCATCCTCAGGGCCACGGCCCCTCTGACACCCAGAGGGAATCCCTTCTTGCCTCTCCCTAGTGTCTGCTGGCGGCTGCACCCAATCCTCCGTCCTCACAAGGCCTTCCTCCTCAGTGCGTGTCTCTCTCTCTCTCCAAATTTCCCCCTTTTTATAAGGACCCCAGCCATACTGGCTTAGGGCCCACCCTAATATGCCTCATTGTCACTTGCTGACATCTGTAAAGATCCTATTTCCAAATAAGACTGCACCCGGAGGGACAGGAGGCTGGGACTTCAACACATCTGCTCTGGGGGCCCACAAGTCAGCCCGTAACACCATCTCCTCTGTAGTGCTAGGACCTTGATCACAGGTTTCCAGAGTGACCCACACTGGAGATTTTCTCCTTGAAAGAGAAACAGATCACCGGGAGAAGCAAATGCCCATGTGGAAGTTTGGGGCTGTCCTTTGGGCTTGTACCCTGTGGCCGTCTCCCCATCACCTCCTTCAGCCTACCCACAGTGAGGATTGGGGCCAGATGCCCCAGCCAGGCTGGAAGGCCTGTGAAGGAAGCCCAAATTCTATCCCTAGGCTCTGTGAACTTAAGGAAGCACCTCAGGGTTGGACAGGCTGGAAAGATTTCCAATCCAACAAGAAGAGATTTTTAAAAAATTATTTATTTGTGTGTTGCTCACTACACACCAGATCAGAAAAAGTCACAGGTTAGGTTTCACTGCATTTAAATGTTAGCAAAGAAATGGGGAATGAGTTTGATAGTGCTGGTCCTTCCTAGTATTTTGAGGATCCATGCCTTTTCCACTCTGAGGAGCCGTGGTGGGGGAGGCGCCCACTGGAAGAGAGACGGCGGGGGGGGGGGGTAGCGGATGAGTGCATGCAGCATCTTCTAGTTCTCTGTGGGCATCACTCGTTTCCAGAGCTTCCTGAGGTCCCAGGGGTGGGTGCGGGCATTCATAATTGTGAGATCATACTTTGGAGTCACTCAAAGTGTTAAAGTTCATGAAGTAACGTATATACTAGTCAGACTGGTTAGTTTGGCTTTTTGTTAGGCTTGGAAAGGTAAAAGCTATGAGGAAGCAGGGCCTCTGTTCTTCACCAGAGGCCCATCAGAGATGTCCCCTAAGTCTGTCACAGAATCTCAGGGTGGCTGAGGCCTGTAAGCCTGTGGTGATTTGTTCCAGCCAACGTGCTGGTTTTCCCGTACAGCTATGAACCCTCATTTTAAGGCCGTTGGGGACTTTGCTCCTCAAACCCACAGACCTGATCTCTGCATATCTCGACTTTTGACACTCGGCTCCTGCACACCGAGCATCCACTGCCGAAGTCCACGCACGTGCCACAGAAGTGGAGGGGCAATATGGATGCATAGCTGGGCAAAAAATGCTCGTCTGTGTTTTGTTTCTTCTGTCAGTAGCCACATAATCCCCTCCATCCTTGACACCTTCTATTCAGTTTTCTCTAGAGCATGTTTTTCCATTACCAGTGGGGTGATACTGGCCTCTGGCAATGTCTTTTGCTCACCCACTAAAGGAAGTGCTACGCATCCTATCCGCAGATACCTTCAGAGGCTACATATGTAGAAAAAGAAGATTCCTTCTCTGTGGGGAAGTGCATAGACCATACCAACTGATGTCAAGGCTGTTCTCATAGCTGGAAACGTGAATTCTCACAGAACCTGGACATTCATGCTTTACAAGAGTCGAAGAGCCAACAGGGTCGCCTGGGAATACACTAATTGCCCAACAGTGCTATTTCTAGTACAGTTTTGGTTTTGTTTTTAACAAATGCGGAACGTAAGAACTACTAAAGCCTAGGAGGGGTGACAAACATCCAGCAGGGAGAAGCTTGAAAGGCCTGTCCCCCAAATGCACTTGGGGTTTCGTTCACAGCCTCGTAGGCTTGATGTGTTCCGCTCAGTCTTATTTTTCTTGAGTAGATGAAGAAACTTTTTGAAAGTGTGGGATTCAGTGGATATGTGTTCTCCTAGGACTTTATTTCCCTTTTTCTCCAAGTTCTAGCAGAGAGTGGCAAGTCTGTGCCAGGCTGCGGCCCACTGATCGCATCCCGACGGGACAGTGCCGTCTACGCGGAGCCCTCTGACGGGTTGAAAAATCTGCTCTGTCTTGTCCTTTTTCGCCCTTTCAGCTTGAAGTTTTTCAAGCCTGGCCAAGAAGCTGTGAAGTACCAGGGGCCTCGGGACTTCCAGGCGCTGGAAAACTGGATGCTGCAGACGCTGAATGAGGAGCCCGCGGTGAGTGCTCGGGACGCCTCCCTGCCTTCCTCCCTCTCTCCCTTCCGACACTTAGGGGGCGATGAAGAGGCCAGTCCAGGGGAAAAATTAAGGCTCTCATTTCAAAGCAGCTTTATAGCCTTTAGAACTAATTGACACTTGTAAGTAAAAATGAACTTTTTTCCCTTCCCAATTTTTGTTTATTGTGGTAAAATACATATGATACAAAAGTTACCATCTTAGCCATTTTTAAGCCTACAAATTCAGTGGCTTTAAGTGCGTTCACCCTGCTGAGCAGCCATCCCCAGGACTCCCTCCATCTTGTAGAACTGAAACCCTGTCCCCACTGAACACCAGCCCCCTGCAACCACCCCGTCTACTTTTGCTCTCTGTTTCCACTGCTCTGCGTTCCTCAGTGGAAAAAGATGAACTTTTACAAGGGTTTTTATTATGGAAATATTCAAAGATGCACAAAAGTAGAAAGAAGGTTGGTGAGTGGCTCTTGAACGAGGAGGACGGTAATGAAGACGGTCCCTTGTGCTGCTCCCCGACTTCAGCGGTTCTCCCCGCCTTGCCGACCTTGCCAGTGCTGTCTTGCCGGCCTTCCTGGCCCTTGTGTGGTGGCAGAGTCAGCCCTCGGAGACTGCCGTTTGTGACTACTGCAGTGCGTGTCTCATACGTACGCTGCGTTAACAGCAGCCTCTGTGCCGCTCCCACATGTATACAGTTGACACGGATTCTCTAGCGTCACAGGTTGATGTGGGGCCAGGAGCAGGCTTAAGCCCGAACCTCCCGTCCAGGCCAGCCTCGGCCCTCTCTGGCCACCACCGGCTATACCGCAGGGTGACCCCCTCCTTTCCCTCTGGACTCTCAGTCCCTGAGGTGCTCACTGGCTTTGCCGATAATGTCATCGAATAAATACCCTTTGCACTCTCAGAGTCTCCGTGGCCCTCCCTGCACTGAGGGTAACAATGTCAGGAAATTGTGGGGAGTTAGGATTTCTGAAATATTATGTAAAGACGTGGCTATGTGTAGAAGGTTACCAAGAAAATTTTATTATTCCCCCCCCCCCCCCCTAATTGGTGTTGGGAGTCTTCGTTTTGTTACAAGTCATTATGGTCATAAACCATTCATCCATCCCTCCCTGTGTGGTACGTTCTGCTTCACGCAGAGTACGCAGGCCCATGGAGGCTGGGTTGGATTTGACAGTTCGTGGCCGTGTGTTGGTGAGGGTCTGGAAAGATGGCCAGTGTCCTGTGCTGCATGAGTCTGATGAAATAATAAGAGCATCTGATGACTCTCAGTGTAATTTCAGTGAGACAGTTCAGTAAGACTGCTTTATTGTGCGAGGCAGGGGCTCACTGCCTTGAAGGTGGTCTGTGCCCGTGTGTGGTTCCAGCAGGCTCTGGGGGGCTCTGCTGCTATCGGAGTCACTTCCCAGGGTGACTCTGTGGTCCTTTGCCCGCCCCCCCCCCTTCTGTGTAGATGTCATGGTTCATCAGAAACCCAACTGCTACTCGGGTGCCGTTTTCCCTCCTGTTTTACAAAGTCTGTAATTGCATGGTACTGAATGAGTGTGGAGAGAGACTTATCTAATTTTAGGTAACAGGGAAAACCACAAACCTCTCAGAGAGTCAATTTGCATCTTTGTCACGGCAAGAGAGTTACATGAGCAGGTGGGACTTTCATATAGATTTAAACTTCAGATTGTTTCCTCTGTGCAAATGTTCTCTGATTGGAGGAAGCCAGTTTTAAAGAGGGGCTAATAGTCTCAAAGAAACCTTTCAAGGTATTTATTTTTTTGCCAATATTTTTTTTCCACCAAAAAGCCAGTCTTCTGTGATGACTTTATTCGAGAAACTAGTAGCCAGTATCAGGATGGCAGAAGGACTTCATCTGGTGGCCCAAGCTCCCCTTTCGGTCAGTGACAGCCCCAGCACAGGCTGGGAAGAGCTGAGGGGAAGGGTTGTGTTCCCTCCAGGTAGAAGGGGCGTGGCTGCGTGGGACCCATGTGTCAGCAGTAGAGACCTCCCATAATTGCCGGAAACAGTGATTGATCATAGGAAAGTTCAAACACTTAGACCTGATATTGCAAACCGGAAATTCTTTCCAATTTAAACTTGCTTTTATTGTATGTGAAAACTTTTTAAAAAGTTCTTTATCTGTGTTTATACCTAAGTAACTTGATGTATACGCTTGCATATTGAAACAGGATAAATTTAGATACCCCTGCCCCCTCACCGTGTTGTGGCAGTATTAAAGAAACTCAAAGAAAAGAAACCCGCTACTTCCAACTTTTATTTTTTTTTAAGATTTTATTTATTCACTTGAGACACAGAAATAGAGAGAGAGCATGAGCAGGGGGAGAGGCAGTGGGAGAGGGAGAAGCAGACTCCCCACTGAGCCAGGAGCCCGATGCAGGGCTCGATCCCAGGACCCTGGGATCATGACCTGAGCCGGAGGCAGATGCTCAACCATCTGAGCCACCCAGGTGCCCCTACTTCCAACTTTTAGATTTCCTTATTTGCTTCTGTATTATTTTTTCTTAAACAGTTATAATCACATAAACATGGTTCTTTTCACGAGTGATATTTTTATATAGTTACATCTTTATATTGATCGTATTTTATATTGTCATGTGGATTTGCCATAATTCAGCTTTTCTCTGTCAATGAACATTTAGGTTATTTATAACCTAGATATCAGAAATGCGTAAGGAACATGTTAATCTTTGTAAAAGACTTTTTTTTTTCTACTTTTGAGTGATGTTTTTAGAATCTATTACCGGACATGAAATTACAAGGCAAAAGGCAAAAAAAAAAAAAAAAAAAAAAAAGGTCCGACTACAATTATGGCTGCTGATTAATGTTGTTGCCTGATCACTTTCTTAAGACTGTGCGCTCACGTTGTCAGCAGCAGGGGAGAGAGTGCTGTGTCTGTGCCCGCGTGTGCCCGCATGTGCCCAAGTCTGTATTGTATCGTGTTGTTGCCACGGCGGGGGGCACTGCCCTGGTGCACGCCACGGGACCCAGGAAGTGACAGTGCCGTACATGAGCATGTTAACACTGAAAAGTACTGAAAACCCTTTGAACATCTTATAAAGGGTGACATAGAGTGTCTCAGCTTCTGGGAGCTCACTGACTGTGCACCTCGCCACCATTCTGTCGGGCGTCTTTTCGGGTGGGTGCTCAGTGAGCACTCTCAAAGTCGACAGGCCCGCAGCCGTGCGGACGCCTCTGTGGTGCTGATTACAGCTCTGCACAGCTTTGAGCTGTCGGCGCTTTTAGACTTTTAATGACTTAATTGGGATATTCTCTGTCTTTTTTTTTTTTAAGATTTTATTTATTTGAGAGAGAGAGAGATAGCGAGAGAGAGCACGAGTGGGGAGGAGAGTGAGAAGCGGACTTCCCACTGAGCAAGGAGCCCGATGTGGGGCTCAATCCTAGGACCCTGAGATCATGACCTGAGCCGAAGGCAGACACTTAACTCACTGAGCCACCCAGGTGCCCCGGTATTCTTTTTAAAAGAAATATGAGCTGCCAGATAAAAATTGAGTAACGTACATCCATGTGTCTGTAGCAGAATGGTGATTCTGTGATCTTTTTGTCACCTCTGGTCACTTTGGCTGGAGGCCACCACTGTGGAACTGAGAGCTCGAGAGTCACGTGTACTGTGGTACCTGTCCAGCTGCACACAACGGTACCCACTCGGATACTGGCAGAAGCATCCTTTAAAAAGCCACTTCTCGCTCCCACGTTGTGTGTTTCTGTCCCAGACTCCGTGCTGTGAGTTAGCGCAGCCCTGTGCTTCTCTCGCTGCCACCTGTCGGTCCCTGCCTTGTCCTCCCTGCCCCCTCTGTCCCTTTACCAGCCCTTCACGGTCTTTATCACCAGCTGTGTGCACGGAGCAGGGCCAGGCCTCCGTTCTCTGATGGTCTCTCCTCCGCCCCGTCCATTCTGCTGCCTTTGCACCTGGAGGTGCTGCGTCCTTCAGAGCCAGTCCGCCAGGGATTTCATCCTGAGCCCCACGTGGAGTGAGAGGTCCCACTGCGAACAACAGGGCAGCATGCCCGTGTAGCGTGGGCCTGTCCTTTCGGTTTGCCTGCTCTGTTCTGGGGTTTGGGGGCAGCAGAGGCAGGTTGGGGTGGGGACAGCTGTCACTGGCAGCCTTGAGTGCCAGTCCTAGGGTGAGGCTGACGAGGGGCTTCCCGCCCAAGGGTCCAGAGAGTTGATTCCTGCCTTGTGTTCCCTCAACACAGCAGCATCCCACAAAGGTCTGATGCAGCCAGATGAGGGAGGAGATCTGTAGAAGGTTCTGGACAGACACAGGTCCCCTCCTCAATGGATTTCACTCTGCCTTCACATATAGACCCAATGACTCTTGTTGTGTTTCTCTCCACTAGATACCAGAGCCTGAAGCAGAGCCACCCAGAGCCCCTGAGCGCAAGCAGGGACTGTATGAGCTCTCAGCGACCAACTTTGAGCTGCACGTTGCACAAGGTATGTTGCGTGCATCTCACAGCTGTTCCCAGTGGGATACACACCTCTCAGAACCACCGACCATTCGTCACTCCTCGATTTGCCGGGCTTTCCCTTCTTGGCACTCAAGGGCTCCTGGATGACCTCTGTGGCACTGAGTCATGGTTTCTCTTTTCGAGACCCATGAACATCCTTGTGCAGTGCTCTTCCTCTTGGAAAGGATTTCTCCTTTCATCTCTGTCCTTCTGGAAATGCCAGTCGTAATGCTAGCCGAAGCCTTAAGTTGTGCAAAGCTCACAGATCATGAACGGGCACACTTAATTTGTACACTGGCTGGACAGTGCATCCTTGGATATGAAAGGGTTTATTTATATTAATGTGAATCATACACTTATTGACCTGAGGCAGAAACAGAAGTTTCTCTTGTTTAAACCAGAATTTAGCAGGACCATTATAACTTGCGAGTCAGAGTAGGTGTTCTTTACACTTAAAATGTTTTTCTGTATCACATCTTTTTTGAAAATAGTCTCCTAAATATCAAAATGATCTATATACAGTCTCCAGTATAAATGACACATAAGTCCTTTATTCACACGTTTGGCTCAGCATCAAATGACTTGAAAGCAAATTCAGCTTCCTTGCTGATCTCCATTCTCAAATGCTGCCATGGAGAGAAATCGTCGCAAAAGACTAGGTTAGAAGCATCGTGAAAAGGGCTTAAAATTGTGCCTGGCCTTGTAACTTCATGCCCGCTGTGAGTTGAAACCCCACCACATTTAAGGTCTAAGAGAACTTTACTGTGATGCCTTCAGCTATTTTCCCTGTGTGCTAAAGGTTGTTATTTGGACCAGGGCGCTGACAGTGGGATTTCAGGGTGTTTTCCCCAACAGGGGATTCACTTTAGTTCCCACGAGCCCAGTTGGGTCCCTCCCTAAGCAAGTCACGCCTGAAAGGCAGAACTGTAGAGGCACCACCTTGGGCTGCTCGCACGAGGATCTGTCCTCAGAAAGCGACAGTGGCCTCCTGCCCTCACAGCTGCCCCTGATGCTCTAGTAGGTTCCTTCCCGGACATCCCTTCCCCACCTCCCAGCACAGGGTTAGTGCCGTACCTGTCTGGAGAAACATGGCTTCAGCCTCGCAGGTCAGTTGCTAATTTTTTGAATCAAATTTTTCACCATTTCCCTTAAACATGTCCTTGCTGTGGTGATAAAGCACTGCCACGAGCATGTGGCGTGGCAGTGTCCTTCTGTGAGCATAGGTCACGTTTTGGTGCCCGTTGGTTTGTTCCCTCCTGAGGCACAGCCTGATTTTGGTCTGGTCTCAGCCTGACATATTTTCGGCCTTTGGCTGGTCAAGGTAAAACAGCCTAGAAAAAAATCTTCAATATCCAAGTAATGATGTTGTGTGGGTTTGTTTTGTTTTTTTTTTCCTTCTAGCCAAGGGAGTGTTACTCAGGTTCTAAAACCTTCTGTTTTATTGTCAAATAAAGCACAGATACAGAAAATAAACGTAGAGCTTAGTGAATTGTGATGGAGTGGTCACTCTGTAACGTCTGGTTCAGGGAATAGAACAGCCAGTCTCCCCTCCTGTCCAGGTCCCAGCCCGCCTGCCCTCACGGAGGTGGTGTCCTGGCTTTATGGAAACCACTCCTCACTCTGTCATCTACCACCCAGATGTGCATTCCTAACCCTACAGTTCAGTTTGTTCTTTCTTTTACATACGTCTCTCTTGAGTCTCAGTCTGAGTGACACTCCCCAGCGTCTCTTTTTCTTTGCATCCTGGTGGCTGAGCACACGGGTTATTGGGCCTATAGAGTTCTCCGGTCTGGACTTTGCCAGGTGTGTCCCCGTGGTGCAGTTAAACACGTTTCCCACAATCCGTTCATTTATTAGGGTTGCCAAATGATGATGTTCTAATTAAAACATCCTTTCTTCATTGTTTTAAGGAGAGAAACTTGCTCTCATTTATCAGCTGGTTATCCACTGGCCCAGTTCACATACGACAGGATAATTGCCTGATTCTTCCCCTTTGTTGCCAGTTCTTCAAATAACGAGTTGGTTCTGTACTGTCCTCCAGGGATGACAGATTAGATTTTGTTTTGAGGATCCCTGTGAACTCACAGATACAGACTTCTTCGATGGAGTCACTTTTCACCTGTTAAAGGGCTCATACCAAAGCTAGCAAGAGGACAAAGATCGCATACTTGCGTTCAGTCTCTAGTAAGGGATGATGCCAATCACCCTCCTTCTCCCTTCTCTGCCCGGCTCTCCACCAAAGGCGACCACTTTATCAAGTTCTTCGCTCCATGGTGCGGTCACTGCAAAGCTCTGGCTCCAACCTGGGAGCAGCTAGCTCTGGGCCTTGAACATTCTGAGGCTGTCAAGATTGGCAAGGTAAGTGAGAGCCCTTATTAAACTGGAAATAGACCGCCTTTGGCTGGATTAATTAGCAGAGTAGCCCATTATTCATTCTGTGTGCAAAGTCGCAAACTTGATTTATTAATTCCATTTAGTGTGCCACTTGATAATTCATTTCACCTTCACAGATGGCAGCCTGGTTTCAAATGTGCTGGCTTTTCCACAGCCTAAAGATAAATTACGGCTTTGGCTCCTTTGTTTATTTTGAAGCGATGGCCAATTCTGAATTGGCAGCCCCAGAGCCCTTTCTGCAAAGATACGGGGCAGAGCCTGTGAATGTTCACTGGCCAGACTTGGAGGCCATCCACACTTGACCTCACCCGAGAGCTGTCAGCTCCGCGCTCACAGAGGCCTGCAGAAGGCCCCCCCCCCCCGGTGAGCCCCAACTTTCACGGCTGTCTGGGAGTCTTTCCAGCGTTCCCCACTTTGCGGAGAGAAGCCAGAAGTGGTGTCTAACAACTTCTGTGTAAGTGGATTTTCTGGAAATATCCAGAGCAGCTCCTGGGCCATCAAACACTTTTAATCTCACCCAGCCTTTGGCACCCACCAGACATCCGGGCATGGGTTTCCTTTTATAAAAATCTCATTTTTCACTTTGCCAATGGACTGATTTGTATACAGAAGTAATGCTGCGTGTCCAGGAACTGCTGTTAGTGAGATGCTCTGCCCGGTCAAGAGCGTGAGCTCGGGGACCACGAAGACCTGGCCAGACAGCCTTCGGCCACTTCGCCACACCCCACTCTCCCCTTTTGCAAAATCAGGATGAGACCTGACTGGTGGTGGGTGGTGTGGATGAACGTCAGGTGCTTAGTAGGATGCTTGGCACGGAGCAAAGCCCTGGTAAATTGTAATAGTTGTTGTGAGTTCAATGGATTTTCACTGTTGCCTGTTAAATGCTTCCAATTATATATTCTAGTTCTACATGTTATACTTTTCTATTTATTGAACATTTCATGGAAGTAGTCATAATTTTCTTGTTCTCTTCTCAATTCCTTGTATCCTTAAATTATTTTATGAATTTTTGTGGGAGCTTATTTCCAGTTTATGTCAGTAGGGGTTTCTAGTAGAACCAGGCATGAGCGGACAGTCCACCCATCCGGGCTGTGGCCCCTCATCCCTGGATATGCATGTGGCCCCGTTAGACTGGACCCTGTAATGCCCCCCACCCAGATGCAAGGCTTCTGTTTAATACTTTAACTGCTGACTTCAGTCTTACGTGTGAAAGTGTTACTTTTATCCTACTTTGTAGACACGGTGAAGAACAACTTAGTGTCCCACATAGCTGATTTTAATGACCATAGAAAATCAAAAAGAAGTGACTTAGGATAGACAGTTTCATGAAAATGTTGAACAGAATCTTCATAAGATTTAAATGAAATAAATTTAAAAAGCAGTGATGGTAAATTGAGCTTACAGAATTAAGAACATATTATAATCTTCGTTTGACGTCTTTTCAGTTGTCTTTATACCAAATGCTCCTATTTGAAATTGACTCCTTGCTCCTCCTTGATCCCAGAACGTCCCAGGTTTGAGCCTGAGAGTCAGTATGCAGGCTGGCATTGGCGTGGGCCTTGGTCACTGGCAGCCAGGCCTCCCCTCCCCAGAGGTCAGGCCAGGCTCCTCTTCTCCAGCTGCTAACCCACTCAGGTAGACTGTGCCTTCCTAAACATCAGCGTTTTTAGGTGAGCTGAGTATGTCATTTCTCTAAAGGACATTTCATCACCTGCTCCCTTAGCTCAGGTGTTATTGGGCTGGCTTTTGGGAGGCCTCTCCCCAAGCTGCACCTTGCCGGCAGAGGTGCTGCAGACCAGGTACGTGAGGTATGGAGTGTCCGGTAATCCGTGTGTCAGGAAGGTTCCTGAAGAAACGAACTGTGAGTGTGGTCTTACTTTTTAGGTTGATTGTACACAGCACTATGAACTCTGTTCGGGAAACCAGGTTCGCGGCTATCCTACGCTTCTGTGGTTCCGAAGTGGACAAAAGGTACATCTTCAGGTTGTGGTATGGAGAGCAAGGGTGTCTCTAAACCCCAGTGGACTGTGGCCTGGTGCTTCCACAGATGTGGCGAGGAGCCCGTGTGGACTGTTTGGCACTGGTTTAAAGGCATACATAATGGGACAAAAGTGTCTTTCCCTTGATAAGATTGGGGTGGTTGACAAAAACCATCAGTCGTCCTACTATTTTATGGTTGGCTCAAGTGGGCACTAGAATAACCCAGAACTGCCTTGGAGCGGGGTTAACACTGGCTGCCAGTAAGGGGCTCTCTCACACCCTCGCGTCCGGCCCCAACCCACGGCCAGCTGCTCAGCGCGCCAGAGCGGGCTCCGGACGTCGTGACCAGATCCCCGCAGAAGGCAGGCGCTCCGGTTCTTTCACCAAGGCCGAAGTCCTCCCGTGTAAATCTGAGCGTGCAGACATTGCACAATTTTTTTTTAAATATTTTATTTATTTATTTATTTGAGAGACAGAATGAGATAGAGAGAGTACATGAGAGGGGGGAGGGTCAGAGGGAGAAGCAGACTCCCTGCTGAGCAGGGAGCCCGATGCGGGACTCGATCCCGGGACTCCAGGATCATGACCTGAGCCGAAGGCAGTCGCTGAACCAACTGAGCCACCCAGGCACCCCAGACATTGCACAATTTGCACCAACACAGCAGAGACACCGATGGAGGTCTCGCGTGGGCCAGCGGGTCCGGGACGAGGTCCGAGCGATTGAGAGCACTAATGTACTAACTTGACAGCATTTTTGTGTGGCCCTTCCCTCGGACAGATTGACCAGTACAAAGGAAAGCGGGATTTGGAGTCGCTGCGAGAATACGTGGATTCACAGCTGCAGAGCACCGAGCCGAAGGCCCCAGACACCGTCCAGCCTTCAGAGGCCCCGGCGCCGGCCACTGAGCCCATGGCCCAGGTGGGTGCATGCTGTGGTCAGGAGGGCCAGCCGTGGCCCCCAGAGGGCACTCTCCTCCCGTGCTTCGGGCCACGTGACATTTGGGGGTCACGTCAGAGAACTTCACATGGTCGGCTGTGGCTGACTTTTCCACGTGAAAGGTTTTCTTCAGCCACTTTCACACACTTGTAGGGCCTCAACCTGGAAGCTCCTCTGAAAGAGATGTGAAACCGAGCCTAAGAGCATTTGGTGGCAAAAGCTCTGGAAAACTCATCCCTTTGATTCGGTCATCACTATACTCGAGGGCATTTGCTAGGAAAATTGGCTGCTGCCGGGTAGGCCCCTCACTCCCGCTTCTGTTCTTTTCCTTCACCTGCTGCAGTAGTTGGACTTGAACCCCAGGGTAGGGCCCTGGAAGAGCTGCAGCAGTGAAGATGGACGCCCTGGAACTTGGCCTAGTGCGTTTCATTTGCTGAGGCAGGCAGTCTCTGTGGCCTGAGTTCAGGGTGCGGAACATTCCAGATTCACTTGTGCATTTATTGAGCATATTTCAGGCACTGTCCCAGGCCGCCAGGAAACAAAAGCAAATGAGACCACCTTCCTGCCTGTGAAGGGGGCCGAGTCTGGTGGGGCAGACAGAGGAGAACGCATACAAGCAGGTGCCCCATGTGTGTGCCGGGCCGGTCACGGTGGTTTGAGAGGGCTGGGGACAGACGAGTAGGAAGTGTTGCAAAGAGCTGGAAGGTGAATTGGTATTGGCCAGAGAGACGTGGCGGGCACGGAGAGACCAGGCTTGTCCGATGGAGGAGAGAGTGAGCGGAAGCACGTGGGCAGGAATGGGCCGGGCACATTTGGGGCAGGGCCAGCAGCCGGCTGGAGGGGAGAGGGGGGAGGAGGGCGAGGGGTGCATCGCAGGATGCCAGAGGGGAGGAGACGTAGGGGCTGGGTCCCAGAGGGCTTTGTCGGCCAGCCAAGGATGTCGAGCTTCGCCCCGTATTTATTGGGAGCCAGTGGAGGGTTTTGAGCAGATGTGAATTTTAGATGCCTGGTAGAAAGAGCTGGAAAACCAGTGTATTCGGCCAGCAGGGTGAGGAGACCCCTGAACGAAGGCTGTGGCGGGGAGCGGAGGGGCGGAGGCAGGAAGCATAAGGAGCCCCGCTCTGCTGAGCGCAGTGGGGAAGGTGGCATCTGAGGGGACGCCCGGAGCCCTGGCGGACCTGGTGGGCGATGGGACACGTGTGAGAAGCACTGGGGCAGGGACGGAAGACGCGGAGTTCAGGTTTCCAGTTGTTGGTTTTCAGGGCCGTGGTGGCGATCAGGCGGGGGCGGGGGCGCAGTGGACGGTAAACGGGGCTCTGGAGCTGACACCTGCGGGTTGGTGTGTCTGCAGCGTTAGGGAGGGAGAGGCCAAGGCTGAAGCCATGGGTGAGGAGGACAGTCGCCAGAGAGAGGATGGTGTCTTCTCGGGAAAACCGTGCTTGACGGCCTAGCTAAAAACCATAAGGCCTGTTTGTCAACGTATTTCCAGAACAGAATGTTCAAGTTGCTCCTTCACTTTCTACAACTACACTGCATAGCATGCAGAGTTCTTAGCTGGGGCAGCAGGACTCGGTGGGCAAAGGAAGGGGCAGTGAGTGTGCAGATGTGTGCAAACACCACCCCCACCCCGGCAATCCTTGAACCCTCAGCATTTACTTGACACATCCTGACTTGCCGGGACCATCGTTCCCTGAGCCCTAGTTATTTGGAATTGGAAGAAACAGAGTCATTTCCCCATCCTCCTGGAGTGGGGACAGTAATGGGCCTCCTCACCCCCACAGCCCGTCCCTTAGTGGGATTCTTAGGTTGGGGACTACCTGGCTGTTGGTTCAAAGTTGAAGTTCTGGTTTAAGAAGCAAACAAACGATTTTGTAGTAGCTGCAACCATGTACGTTAGAGGAGTGTGTGTGTCAGGGTGGCTTTAAAGGTCATCCCAGATTGAATATAATTATATACTGTGGAGGTTTTCATCAAACACAGACCCGTTTCTATTTATAATCCAGTTTTCCAGCATGAAGTAGGTCTTTCAGTGAGCATGGCGTCATGTTTCTGGGCATAAAGAAAGATGGTGGGGCTCTGCAGCGGGCCCCTTGGCGGCTTCGCCTCTCGGTCGCTGACACGCGTTACCCGATGCCAGACTCAAGGGGAGCAGCCCTGGTGCATTTAGCCACATGATAAATCATCACGGTCTTGCTCTCGTGAGACAATCGCAGATCGTTTTTTGGAGAAACACATGGACATAATTCTGTAAAGAACCGTCAAGACAAATTGCTTTAGAGCAGACCGCCCTGTGGCACCTTCCCCCGACATCCTCCGGCCAGAGCGGAGATGAACAGTTTGCACATTCACTTTGAATTTAGAGATGGAAAGCAGCCTGTGATAGGTAACACACACATCCTTGCCTGTGGTTTGGCGACTGTCAGCTGTGAGGTCAGCACACAGAGAAGGTAACTTTTACAAATCCATACTCTGGGAGAGCGGGAGGGGGATAGTGCAGAGGAGCACGTGTGCGTGCACAGCGGGTGGGCCGGTCCATGGGGCTGTTGGACCCCTCCTGTCGGTGTGCAAGGCTCTGAGCCTGGGAGCTGCAGGCCGGAGCCTGGGCCGCCCAGAGCCCACGGGTCCCCAGCCCAGGGTCCTGGATGGTAGCAGCTGCACCTGAACCCACTCGGGCTGGCCGAGGGCAGTGCCGGCCCGGGGCCTGCCACCTCCTCGAAGCAGCTCCTGGGCTCAGGACCTCGGGAGCCTGTGATGAATCACGGGCCCTTCTTGTGTGGCTTGTGATATGCGAGTTGTGTATTTTTGTGTCACCTTGCATGATAGCATTTTTAAAAAGATGATTGGTTTGTATTTCTGCAACCCCAAAGTATGGCCCTGCTCTGCTCTAAGTGATGCATTTGAACCACGGCTTTTCCCTTCCCTGCAGGGCACCGTGTTGGCACTCACGGAAAAGAACTTCGAGGACAGCATTGCAGAAGGAATAACCTTCATCAAGTTTTATGCTCCGTGGTAAGCGGCTGTTTAATTAGAAACTATTCAGCCCCAGAGTGCTCCAGCCCCGATCCCGTTTCCCCCTCGTTAGCCAGCGTGCTCGGCACAGTGCTGGGCAGATGCTACATTCCCGCATAGGTTCTGTTGTAGGAAGTAAGAAAAGGGGGGTGTCTGCGCCTCTGTTCAGCTTGGTTGAAGTTTGGTTTGGTGGTATTCATAAACAGTTATTTATGGAGAATGAGGCCAGTTTATTTTAAAGTTGAATCTGTTTTGGGGAAAACATGAAAATGGAGAGTCAGAATGGCCATATAAAACTCCAGTTTTGTGGTATCTGTCCTTTCCTAAGTAGATTGAGTTTTGGGGTTAACTAAACCACAAACATCATGATGTAGCTTATTAGCTCCTTCGTCTCTTGGACGGTGTCGAGAGACGCAGCAGAGCTCTGGGGGGGGCCGTTCTGTGTGTTACCCAGTTACTAGAAGCTTCCTGCCACATGGCCCTCGGGGACTGGGGCACAGCAGGACACCCGGTCCGTGACCAGGGCTGCCTGGGGTGGGCGGATGGCAGGTGCCGAGACTTTCCTGCGCAGCTGTCACTCTGTATGCCCTTCTTGCCTTTGAACCTCAGTTTTCTCACCTGTAAAATGGGAAGAATGCTTTGTCTTCACAAACAATCCACTTAGAAAAGCAGCATCTCAAGGAGAGTGTGAGATTCTGTCTCTAAAGAGGCACAATTGTGTAGGCTCTTCTTCAGTTGGTGCCATTCTGGGTGTTCAGGAGAAACCACGGTGGTGGAGAGAAGTCAGTGAGCACATGACTCCCATGCACTGTGCAGCGTTTATCCTTAAAGACTGGAAACACGGGGCGCCTGCGTGGCACAGTCGGTTAAGCATCTGACTCTTGCTTTCTACTCAAGTCATGATCTCAGGGTTGTGAGATCGAGCCCCATGTCAGGCTCACTCTCTCCCTCTGCCCCTCCCCCTGCTCGCTCTCTAAAATAAATCTTAAAAATAAAAAAATAGAAACACTAGTCAATGATGCCTTTAAATCTGTTATTTTCTATTTAAAAAAAAAAACAACCTTGAAGCTTTATAGATCAAATAATGGTTAAGAGGGAAGGTGCTCAGGGAAGCTTTAATGTCTTGAAACTTCGAGACCACAGTGATCAAATCTAAAATGAAGCATTTTTAGGGAGCCTGGGTGGCTCAGTTGGTTAAGCAACTGCCTTCGGCTCAGGTCATGATCCTGGAGTCCCGGGATCGAGTCCCGCATCGGGCTCCCTGCTCAGCAGGGAGTCTGCTCCTCCCTCTGACTCCCCCCTCTCGCTCTCTCTATCTATCTCATTCTCTCTCTCAAAATAAATAAATAAAATCTTTAAAAAAAAATAAAAAAAAATAAATAAATAAAATGAAGCATTTTTAAAAAAACGTGTGGAGTTGGTTTTGCTTCCTGTCCACCAGCTCGTGCTCACGGTGCATCGGATTCATTCATAGGCCAGTTAGCTCCGGTCACCCCATCCTGGAAAGGGTCTTGGAATCTAAACTCGCTTCCAGACCAGCTTGCTTCTGTTAGGCTACCCACAAGTCTACTTGGGATTGACTTTGAATCCCTTGTCTGGGACGGAGGAGGAGAAAAGGTTAGGGCGTCCAGCGGGGAGAATTTGATGTTTTATAAATTTCTAGGCCATACAGAAGACGCTGGGCCAGGCTGGGCAGAGGACTGTGGGTGAGGGAGCGAGACCCAGGACTTCCACAGCGCTGTGGTGGTTCTCTTCCCAGGTGTGGCCATTGTAAGAACCTGGCTCCGACGTGGGAGGAACTCTCTAGAAAGGAGTTCCCTGGTCTGGCAGAGGTCAAGGTCGCGGAGGTGGACTGCACTGCAGAGCGGGATATTTGCAGCAAGTACTCGGTGGGTACATGTGGCTGAAAACCCTCCCGGGGGCCCCGAGCGCAGGGAGCGCACCCACACGGAGCCGTCCTCCGGCGCGCTGGGGGCCACCCGGTGACCCACACTGCCCTCGTCTTCTCGGCTGAGTGTTCCTCGTGTCCCCTTGAGGCTCCTGCTTTGTTCTCATTTTGAAAAGCAAAAGAGATGCTCTGTCAAAGGAATGGCTTTTCTCCCATTAGCGATCCACCTTTCACTGGGGGATTTTAGGGCTTGCTGTCTGCAGAGAAGTCTGGGCAGTAACGAGAGTCCAAGCTTCAGAATGGGGTGCCACCTCCACAGCCTCTTTGGCTGGCTCAGCAGTCAGCTGACCTTAGCCTTTGTCTCAAACCCCTAAGTGGCTTATCTTTCAGACATGCGCCTGTGTTCTAAGGCACGATGGTTGAATAAAGGAAGCAGTTGAACTTCCTCCTGAAAGGGCCATCCCAGCAAGCTAGTCTGTGCTTTGGTCTTTTGTTTAACTGTTTCCGCTTTCTGAGCTGTTAGCACAGTCTGAGGGCCTAGAAGATTTGTAATTTACGTTTTTGTTTTTGTGTTGTTTTTTTTTTAAGATTTTATTTATTTGAGAGAGAATGAGAGAGAGCATGAGAGGGAAGAGGGTCAGAGAGAGAAGCAGACTCCCCGCTGAGCAGGGAGCCTGATGCGGGACTCGATGCGGGACTCCAGGATCATGACCTGAGCCGAAGGCAGTCGCTTAACCAACTGAGCCACCCAGGCGCGCTGTGTTGTTTTCTTAAAGCACTTTGAGGCTCTGGAGCTTCTTACCTCATTCGTTTGAGTATAAACTTAGGGGCGCCTGGGTGACTCAGTTGGTTGAGCGTCCAGCTCCTGATTTCAGCTCAGGTTGTGATGTCAGGATCGTGGGATGGAGCCTCACGTCGGGGGGGGGGGGTCCACGCTCAGCGGGGAGCCTGCTTGAGATTCTCTCTCCCTCTCCCTGTGCCCCTCCCCTGCTTGCAAGTGCATGTTCTCTCAATAAATAAAATCTTTAGGGGAGAAAAAAAAATACAGATGTAGCATAGACATTTACTTCTCACTAGAAGATGCCGTTTTCTTGGTTCCTTAACGTCTTAGGAAAGAAGTGCATTGCAGCTGTTGCAGCTGGAAAATGTGTGTTCTCGAGGATGCTGCTGCCATGCAGAGTGGCCCGCAGAGTGGCTGGGTGTCACCAGGGGCTTGTCAGAAATGCAGAGTCTTAGGGCCCAGCTGGACCTGCTGCGTCAGGACGTGCGTGTTCGCCGGGGCCCCAGGTGATGGCCTGCACACAAAAGCTCCAGAAGCTCTCCCTTTGGGCCAAGTCCTTCCTTTGACACTAATCTCGAATGTACTTTTGGATGGGAAAGTGAGGAGCCCCAAGGCTTTGCTTGCTGGTACTTTTTAAATGGTCTGTACCTTTTAAAAATTTAACCACAAACTTTCCTGGTCACAACTTTAGGAGTTTTTCTGGTTTTATTTAAGAAGCAATCTGCGTGTGACCTGGACCACTGGTCTTCATACTTCCTTTTTTTTTTTTTTTAAAAGGTACGAGGCTATCCCACATTGTTGCTCTTCCGCGGAGGGCGGAGAGTCAGCGAGCACAGTGGCGGCAGGGACCTTGACTCGCTGCACCGCTTCGTCCTCCGTCAGGCCAGGGACGAGCTGTAGGGCCCACTGGCCCGTCGCCCGGCCGCCTGAGCCCCGGCTGTTGGAGCTGAATCATGCCGGTGTTGTGGACTCTCACCTGGTGGGTTTTCAGAGAGCTGAATGTACTAAACTTGTGGTATCTTCTTTGTGTGTGTGTTTTTTAAGCCAACACTCTCTACGGATTCTTTACTAAGTTTCTCTAAGTAAACACGTAACTCACGATCCCTTCACAAACTATTTTCCATGGCGATCTGTCATCCCCTTCACCCTTCTCTTGAGGAATCTCAGTGGTTTCCTTTGAGACTAAAATAGAGCTGAGGAAAATCAAATTGCTGAACTCTTTTTGGCTCCTGAGTGACTGTGGTGCACAACGCGTCATCTAAAGCATCACTTGTGAGCTGCTCACGGGCTCCGGACGGCGGCAGTAGTGATACTCCTGATCTGAAGGTCAAAACTGACTTCTTAATAATGTGTTGCTTAGTAGCTTGGAGCAGATCTAAAAACAGAAACCCCACACCTCTGGAAGATACCTCCATATCCACCCCTGGCTTTGCTGTTTCTGTTAATACTCCTCTTATGGCGAGAGGTCAGCCATAATGAAGGCAGTGGTACTTCTGACACGTGCCTGGGTAAGAGAATGCTGGTGCCATAACCTCGTGTGTGTGCGCATGTGTCTGTCTCTCTCTCTCTCTCTCTCTCTCTCTCTCTCTCTCTCTCGATGCTTCTGTTATCCCATGGCTGGAAGACTTCTTGTTAGGTCATCACGAAGACTTGATGTCTCCCACAGAAAATGTGGGCATGGGAAGTTCCACAAGGCTTGTCCTGACTATTCTGTTAACTCCTAGAACAATTCTGGTTGTTGTCACCTGGGGCGAGAGGGCTTAGGTGAGCCTTCCCAGGCCTGGGTATCGGAACCAGGGAGGCCCCCCAGCTGGAAGCAGCTTCAGATCCTGCTTCTGGGTAGTTGTTCTAGAGGCTTACTGTACTTTGTCTGCCTCGGAAGAGGTCAACTCTGTGTGTGTGAAGAGTGGGATCCAGTTGGCCTCAAGACCAAAGACTGAGCTAGGCAGGGCTGGGTCAGGGCTGACTCGGGCCCCATTACCGCCCCTGCCAGCACCCTTGTCAGCCACGCCATCCTAGTTGTTAAGCAGTTTTACTGTCACACTTGAAAAGAAGCACCCATCGGACTAGGCTCCCTGCGGATACGTACCTGTGTGTTCTTGGCCATCAAGTTACTTCTCATCATAATCCCTCCCTTCCCAACGCTCTTCGCCCCACTTCCCATGCTCGGGGTGGGTGCAGTCAGTGGACACACGGTCACTGGGGGTGGGACCCTGAGAAACAAGGTCCCTTCTGCTGCCTGCAGCAGAAGACAACAGAGCAGGGTCTCGGCCAGTCTCTGCCTTAAAGGAAATCTTTATTAATTATGTATGGTTCACAGATGGTCTTTTAAAAACCCCAACTTTCTAGAGAAGCACAATCCTCATGAGTGGCTTCAGCTTTGCATCATGAGTCTTGTATTAAAAGAAAATCCAAGTGGTACAATTTGTTTACACTATGATACTTTCTAAATAAACTTTTTAAAAAAAAAAAAGTCTGGTCTTTCCTTAAATGTTACAGCAAAACAGATATAAAATAGACAATAAATTATAGTTTATATTTACAAAAAAGCTGTAAGTGCAAACAGTTTTAGATCATAAATGTATTATTTAATCAGTTTAGTATGAAATTGGCTTCCTAGTACATGATCGTGAAAAAGACACTTTAAAAATATTCTACGATTTCATCTGAGTCTTCCTTTCTACAAGAGAAAACTGGGATTTGGGTTCATAAGGGCATGCCTATCCAGACCCTCTCCTGGCGGTCCTTCCCCATTTTGTTTCCTTTGCTGGACCTAACCCCGCCACTTGGCATGCTGTCGAGGAAAAGGCATGGAACCATTTTACTGAAATAGGTGAAATATTAGAGCCGGCGTTCCTGGAGTGAACGTGCTTTTCGGAGAGCCATCCCAAAAGAGAAGAGGTGCAGCACTGGTTTCCCGCGGCGCCCGGCTAACGTGCCTCCCCGGCCTCCCCGCAACACCCGCTCGCTCTACTTTGGGTGCTAGCAAGGAGAACAGCTAATGGGGGGGTAGGGACTGAGGTGTGGAAATGACACGGTTGGTTTGACCGAAATGACTGTATTTTCACACGGACACAACTCCAGCACAAACGCTAAGGGCAGGGGCGGAAAGAAAAGGCACTTCGCGGAGCCCCCGGGTCGGCCCGGGCTGCTGCCCCTGCTTGAACCTGCCCTGCGCCGAGGCCGTCTGTGAAGGGAGGCATTTCCGCCCAGTTCCCGTTGTCTATATAGATCTACCTCTGACGGACACTACAGAACCGGCTGGTACTTTAGCCAAGAGTACTCTTACTCCTTTAAGATTATTTTCCCTATTGACTCACTAACACCACAAATAGCTTGGTCTAAAGCTAAAACTAATTTTGGTGGGCTCTTTTTTGGGGGGGGGTTAGGGGGAACCCTTCAAAGTTACGTTTCTGTAGTTCCCAGACTTCATACTACAGACATCCAAACCCCGCTTCCTGCAGACCAGCAACTGCCCACGTTATCTACCGTGTGAGCAAATTCTTAACGAGGCCCTTTAAGTTCTTCCTTGGGCAGTAAGGCACCAACCAGCCCAGGGCGGCTTCAAAGGCTTGCCTCCCCCTTCGCCGTGCTTCTGAATGTTTTTTAAGGCAGATGTCATCTGGGAACCCAAGGCCATATTTGTGTCCCCAGCAACTGGTTTCGAGTTAGTGGCATCCACAAGCTCTGACAACCATATTCCTGTATTTTTTCAAGATGACATTCGAGTTGTCATCAAAGTAAAGAACTGAGATGGCGTTTAGTTTGGTTGGCGCACAGCATGGTTTGGGGACATACTCAGGATTCATAAGGTGAACCTGTTGCAAAACAGAAGGGGAAAGGCACCGTTAGAAGCCATACCTGGTCTCGGCTTACTCCTACCTCTAAAGCGAAAGGGGTCCCTGGGAGCTCACCAGCGTCTGCACAATTGCGTGGTTCGTTGCGTTCATGTGCGCGTTGAGTGGGAAGGAGCATTCTCCATCACAGTAGTTGGCGGCGTAGCCCTTGGGTGCGATGATCCAGTCCTTAGGTGAAAGCAAAAGGACCCCACATGTGATCAGCATACACTCCTTACATCATCTGCGCTCCAGGAATCCTGTGACAATGGACTCCTCACACTGGACAGCTGGGCAGGCAGGCCCAGGGAGGGCACGTTCATGTTCTAGTGGCAAAAGCTAGGGGGTGAGCCTAGTTCATCTGGCTCCAGAGTGCTCTCCCCCTTCACAGGCCCACAAAGCCTTAGCTGCTACCCACTTGCGAAGCCTGGAAGCATAGGGGGCTGGCTTTAGGCACCCGGACCCAAAGGAGCCTCGAGTATGCCCTGTCATCATAACACCATCTGCATATACAAACTCGATTTCCTATCACTTGTCACCTAGAATTCGCTTCTTATAAACTAGTGGTGGCTCTCAGGTGTGGGGCTAACCATTTGTGTTCTTCTAGGTAATTTGGGTGAGTCAATGTATAGCCATTGGATAACTGTTAGATCAGTTTCTCCAACCCTTTCTCAAAACACAAACGCCAAAGTCCATGCCTCATGGATTCTGAAAGAATGGAGGAAGAGCGCTGGGAACGTGGGACTGATTCTGAGGTACACGGAACTTGGGAACCTGGCTCCCTGGGAAGATGTAGGGGTGGGGGGGGCGGTGCTGGTCCACAAGGAGCCTGGTCCTTCCTCTGCCTTCCTCCAGAAGCCCAGGCATCCGGAAGAGCTCCCAAGTACCTTCACATGGGAATCACCTCGGCCCTAAAGCTCAAGTTCTTCGAGGACAGCCACTGCCATGAAGATGGGAAAGGACATTTGTTCCCGTTGTTGTCCAGAGAACTCACCTGCCAGCCCAGGTCTTGGAAGCTCACATAAAGCTCATGCTTCCTGCAGGCCGTTTTCAACTCACTGCTGTTGTAATCTGTCGGAGGAGATAAGATGCGCCCATTAACTCATTCATTCTTTCATTTAAATACTGACATGGGAGGCTTTGCCGTGGGCCAGGCCCTTTATGAGGCTCACGACAGCAGTGAACAAGGCCCCTGCTCAACATAAATGTGGGCACCAAACAGCTCCATCAGGTTCCGTGGCTCCCAGGTCCTCACTCACACCATCTTGTTCACTCTAGGGTGCATGCTGGGCAGACTGGCACACAATGTCATCACTGAGCTGAACGGACTCGTGAGCAACACATGTGCACTGTGAGCCCCTGCTGTATGCAGGGCCTGTGGGAGAGGGTACACCAAGGGGCCCTAAAACACCCCTTGGGCTCCTGACTTGGAAGACATCGTATTCACAGTACAAGACAACTATACCAGGCAGGATTTGCTATAATGCACACAGGACAGTCTTGAAGCTGCACAGGGGCCGTGAGGGTAGCTGGGTCAGGAAAGCATCCTGAAGGAAGGGTAACGGAGTGGCGCCTACCTAAGAGGGAGTCAGAGACAGAGGGAGACCCTGCAGCAGAGCTGGCTCTCTCTCCAGCATTGGTCCCCAGGCTCACTTCCAGGGTTGAGCCTTTGACCTGCACCAAAGCAACGAGTCCTAGGACAGTGGTGTCCTGTGAGAACCCCCCAAAGCACGTGTAACTCCCCTGTGTGATGCAGGAGCCGTTAGCCTGTCCCAACCTAGAGGAATGGGAGGGCCCAGGTTCATTTAGGCCCAACTGGAGCAGCTCTTCTGTGAGGTGTCCTCTGCTAGGCAGCACAGGGAATTGGAAAATAAGTGACACGAGGCTTGCAGCCTCGAGGGACTGAGAGAACCAAAGGGGTGGTATGAGACATGGACACAACTAACGCAAATACACAACAATGCGGACGCTATGGGCCAGTGTTATGGAGAAGTCCCGCTGGGAGTTCGGAGAAGAGTCAGTTAAGGTGGGAGCGAGAGGAAGAGCGAGTGGTCAGGTGGAATGAATTTAAGGATATGTGAAGATGAATCAATCAGGTGAGATAAAGCTGGGGAAATGAATGGCCTAGAATGCCAACCAAAATGATGTGGACTTTCTACTAGAGGCATTAAAGTAAGCCTGTGAAGAAGGGGTTTGAGCCAGAGAGGGACATGTTCGGAACGATGATTCCAAAGGATCAACCTGGTAGTGGTGTTACAGAGAGATGAAAAGGAAGACTCCAGAGAAAGGTTCTTAATCTACAATGAACTTTGACGGATACAGGTCACGGGCATGCCACCCCTGCCCTTTTAAATCACATAGCCAATTACCTA